AAAAACCCACATTGCTGCTCTGCTTTTATTAGCAAGAGTCATGTTTGGCACTAGTGACATAATGAAATTACAATAAACAGCTAAGTGTTTTTCTCTCAGCAGCAAACTCAAGGACAAAGCAGGGCGGCTGCAGCCTACCCATGGCGGGGCATCTGAAGCCCAGACTGTCCTACCGCCCTTCCACCCCACACAGCCAGGCTCCAGACCCCTCCTGGGATGTGCTGGGAGCCACTCGCAGCGGGGACTGCACAGCCACCAGCACATGTCTCCCTTCTGACAACCCCAACCAAGAATTAACTTTGGATGGGGATGAACTTTAACTGTATTTACAGTCCGCCTCTGGAAACACACACAGCACACACCACACATGGATGCCACCACTCTGCAGCCATGGAGATCACCCACCTCCTGCACTGACAGATGGACATGTCTGTCCAGCTGAGCCGACGAGGAAGCGCTGGAAAGCACTTCCTCCTTCACTAGCACGGCAGGACCCGAGCGAGGCCCGCAGTATCTACCAGGGGAAGGAGAATCACCAACACAAGTTGGGTGGCGTGGCCCACTGTCACACCGGTAGCTGCAGCACAGGAACACACAGGGACTTCCAGGTCCAGTGGGATCCCGAACCCGGCATTGAGAGCCACTGCCTCCTGGTCACCAGCTGCAAGGGAAGCCCTACTCACCCACCCTGTTTGATTGTTGGGTTTTCTAAAAACTAGCTGGTTATTTCTCTATTTCTCCAGTCCCTGCCTACAAACAACCCCAACCTCGGGAGCAAACACAAATGCATGAATCACAGATGAGAAACAAAGCAGGAGGTGGGATGGGCGGCCCTGCTCCCTCCTGCCCTCACCTCACCTCATGGCGCGAGGCAGTTATATTTAGGTACCGCCACGGTCTGCGGTGCTGCGGCCCCCCTCGGGCACGGCGCAGAATGCAGATTTTCCAGACAACAGACCACAACAGCTCCGTCAAAACCATTAGAGGCTGCGGCGCCCAGGCCTGCGCACAGATGTTTTGATTCCCACTCTCCTGCCACAGCAGCCCTCAGCGGCCCCGGCGCTGCTATGCGCTGGACGCTCAGCCCGAATGTCGGCTGTCAAGGGCAGGAGTGAGGAAGGCAGGGCAGCCTCGCTCCACAGGGGAGATGTTCCTCCCTCTGGTCTGCCCTTGCTGGCCTCCCCCAGGAGCTCCCAGAGGGTGTGCGCTAACGCCCCACCATAAGAAAACAGAGGCAATGCAGGAGGGCAGCCCCATGGTCACCCTGCTCCAGGCCCAAGGGATCTCCCAGGCCGAAACCCTGCAGTCACTCATTGCCCACAGCCCCATAAGCAGCGACTGGGTCCCACACATGGCCAGAACGGGGAATCGGGCGAGACCCAGCTTTGTCTATGTCTCACCTCTTCCGGTGGCCAGACTCGGCTCTGAAGCCATGCAAAGGTCAAACCTCGGCCACGTTCTAGCGAAGGGAAACAGAGTTGTGAAACACTTGGCCTCCTCCCAGCCCATTCCTCCTGAACCACACCATCTCCCCAGCACAAACACACCTCTCCCTCCAGCACCACCAGCAGCACTAGCACCTACGAGAAGATGGTTGCTGAAAACTCTCCCACCGCAGATAAGCAAGTCCAACACCGGCAGAGGAAACGCTCAGGCAAGGGAGTCCAAACCCCAGCAGAACAGTGTGTGAATAAAGTTGATGTAAAAGCCAACTAGTCATTTTTCAGCTTCTCCATTCAACATTTTTATTATTAGTATCATCACTACTGTTAGTATTTTATAAAGCAGGAGCGTTAACAGGCAGGCTACCACAGCCAGCCATATGTACATGAGTTGGGATTTAGCAATTCCCGCCGAAGCTGTTCAACTGCTAGCCAGGCCCAAAGTAAATCTGCTCCTCAGTGCTGCTCTTGGCCTCTGGCACAACACCATCGAGACCAGGGCGGGGGGTCAGAACAGAGGGATGAAAGAGGGACACGCGCCTTTGCCTTTGTCAAAGCAGCCACTGCCGGGCCACGGTTTGACAGCAGCCACGACAAGGCCAGGTGAAGGTGCCAGGCCCCGCACCGCCTCCGCCACCGAGCAGCACCTTGGCTCGGTCCTGCGGGAACAAAAGGCAGCAGCAAGACAGGAGGGAGGGCATCGGGTTCCCACAGCTGAAGGCCAGCGCTGCTGTGAGCCGCACCGCTGGTGTGCGGGAGAAGGGCTGCAGCGGGCTTCCCGCTGGCCACCGTTCCCAAAATGACCATGAATGAAAAGGAAAGAATGGGAAAAAAAAAAACAAATGCAGCAAAGCAACCTCTGTGTCTAGGCACAGAGTTCCTCTACCCTTTAATATGTCTTGTCTTTGCTTTTGTTTCTGACCAAAGTCGGCCTGCGGAGCAGGACCCGGGCAGGAGGGCAGCTCAGGAAGCCTGCACAGGAGCAGCCCTCAGCCGGGAGGGCGAGCAAGAGCCCTGGGCCTGGTGCTGCACGGCAGCGGGGAGCCCAGTGTAGCCCTACGGGTGGCTGCTGGAGCCGAAGCACCCTGCTCCATGACCACCCTCCACTCAGCTGCTCTCGAAGCCTCAGCCGGTGCCGCAGCCGAAAAGCCACGCTCCGTCTTGTGCTTAATGCCGGACCAGACAGTGCTCCCTAATGAGGGAGCATTACAATCAGCTTGTAATGCTGAATTTTTAATGCTGCCGAGGGCTCTGTTACATACTGAAGGGGAAGCGGGCACAGCGGGCGGTCGGCAGGGTGCCTGCTCCCCCCCAGGCCCCCGGCAGACCCTCGCACCCCTGCCCCGCCGCTTACCGCCAGCACTGTGGGACGGGGTGCACGCAGCACCCATCGGAGCTCCTGCCTGGCCGGGAGCCTCGTGCAAACTTTCCTCAAGTGCGTGGAGAGGTGATGCCAAAAGCTTCGCTCTCCCCTCCACCAGAGCTCGGCCGGGAAGCGGTTTAAAAGCAAAGTTCATGAACATGTTAACTGCATGCTCTCGTATGTTCTGTACATACAGTCTGCACTGCTGCTCACAGTAATACCCTAAGACTGTAAATCTATAACCACTGCAATGATTTAGTGATTAAAAACATGATAACATATTGTGTAACTGCAAACCACAGAATCCCTGCCAACTCTCCTCCAAGATACAGGAACAAAAATACAGAAAATGTGTTGCTTGCAGCAGTCTTCCTAAACTCAATGGAAAGATTTTAATAATAATAATAATAATGAAAAAAAACCAAACCCAGCCCTAGACATCAGAAAAAGGCTGGATACAATGCAAAGCTGGAAAAAAAAAATTAAATGACAGAGTTTTAAATACAATTCTCGCTCTAACAAATTACAATCTAAACATGCCTCTCTTTTTTTTCTCTTTTTTAAGTTTGTCGTAACTGGAATAACTGGTCTTGTGTGATGTCTTGCATATTCAAAGTGCTTTGTAATAGGATACGGAGACCAAACCTTATTTGCCTAAACTCAATGGGTTTTATTTTTTCCCCTTTCCCCCCCCCCCATTTCTTTTCCTTTTATTTTCCTTCCTTCCCCCCACCTTTTCTCCCCTAATTGGGGGGGGGGGGGGGGGAGGGAGCTGTGGGGGAGGCAAAGGAAGAGAGGTCTTTAAGCTGTAAAGAAAATACCTGAAAGGGGAGGCTGCAGTCTGTAATACAGTGAGGAAAGCCAAATATTATATATGTATTTTTAAAGGCAGCTGTGGGAGTTTTGGCCTCTGAGCAGACAACTTGACCCCGTCCTCACTATTCTCTTATTTCCCCCATCGCAGGATCCCTGCACCTTCAGTGGGATTCGAACTCAATGTGACCCTAAGGAGGGAGTCACCGAGCCTCCAGAAAATTGCTCCATATTAAACAGGAGCGAGAAGTGGAGAAAGACAGACAGAGGGCCGAGGAAGGGATGCAGCTGTATTCCATATCCTCACAAAGTACAGGACAAACCCACGAGCAGCTTCAAGCCCAGCTTGAAAGAGAAACAGCCCTTTCTCAGAGCAAAAGAAATATTTCTATTTTAGAAAAAAAAAAAAAAAAAGGGGGTGGGCAAAGGAAAGTTTAGCAATTTAAATTAAAAATAATGCTAATAAATAATAGTAATTAAGAAAACACAACAAAAGCAAAACAAACGCAACCTAAATGATAAATATCGCAGCGAAGCCCGCGGGTGCGTGCCACACGCGTGCACACAGAGCCCCACGGCAGCGGCCGCGGCTCCGCGCACCCCGGCTCCGCTCGGGAGGGCTGGCTCAGGAGCCGCCTTCCCTCCGCGGGCGAGGAGCACAGTTTATTCAGAGGAATCAATAGGAAAGAGCATTTGCAAATATTTAGATAAGCGCCGTACGATTCGGCATTAAGTAATTAAAAACTGAAACTGAGAAGGGGGATCGGCCTACAGCGCCGTTCGCTGCTTCACCTCCCCATCCCCCTAGCCGCATTCTTCCCAAAACCGAGCCTGCCCGCGGAAAACAAAAATCGGAATTACTCGGGCTCGCCAGGCCGCTCCGGGGCCGCTCGGGCGCGGCGCCCGGCCGGGCGGAGGCGGGTGGAGGGCCGGGCCGGGCCGCCGGCGCCGGGGCAGTTTCGGGCACTTCTTCGCCCCTTTGTTTTCCAGCGCGTCCCCGGCGCTGCGCGGCCGCGGGGTCCGCCCGAACGGCCTCTCTCTCCCCACGGGGTCCCGGGGGGCGCCGGACCCCCGCCGCCCGCGCCCCGCCGCGCACAAAGCGGCGCAGCGCCGAGCCTCTCCGCGCCCCGCGGCCATGGCCCGGCGGGCGGGGCGGGGGCTCCGCGTACGCGCAACGGCCCCCGCGGCGCCGGCACCTGCGCGTCCCCGGCGGCGACGGCGGGGCTCCGGGACGGCGAGCGGCACAAAGTTTGCTGGGGGATCCGGGGCGGTGGGTGGGAGCGGGCGGGAGGGGGGGCCGGACCAGCCCCATGCAAAGCAGCCCGGGCGCCCCGAGCAGGAGGAGCCCGAGCGGGGGACAGGGCAGAAAAGTTGCCACTTACGCGGTCGCTGCTCCGGCGGCGGCGGCGCTTTTAATCCCGGGCGGCGGCGCGGGGGCTACAGATCCCATGCAGGCTGCGGCGGCTGCGGCGGCAGGAGCGCACTCCGCGGAGGGGCCCGGGGCAGTAGCAGCAGAAGCCGTGGGCAGCAGCCGGAGCCGAGCGGGAGCCGCCGCCGCCGCCGCCGCTGCCCAGCAGCAGCATCGTTGTCGGGGAGTTTGCAGCCCCCCGGAGAGAGGGGGCCGCGGGCGGCGGCAGCAGCAGCAGCGGCGGCGGCGGTCGGGTCGGGTCGGGGCGGAGCGGCGCGGAGCGGAGCGGGCGGCGGGGCTGGCGGTCGCCGGAGCAGGAAGCGCCCGGACTCAGATCTGATGATTGGGAAGAAAAAAAAACTCTTTGGATCTTTATTCTGCTAATTAGTTTCCTGCAAAAAATGGCTGATTAGTGCAGTGCGCATGTGCCTCATTACCCAGGCACGACGGGAAGGGCTAATTAGCCACCTTCTGGATCAATAAGATTCAGCCCAGGCGGCGGGGGAGGGAGCGAGCGAGCAGGAGCGGGCGGGGGGAGCGCGGCGGCGGCGCCGCACCGAAACTTGGGGCAAGCGGCCGGCCCCCAGCCCGCGGCGGGGGGGGCAGCTCCGCGCCCAGCCGCGCAGCCCTGCGTCGGGGAGGGGGCGCGCGGGCCGCCCGGCGGCTCCGCTCTTCTCCGCACAGCTCCGCGGCAGCGGGGCGCTCCGCTGGGCCACCTGCCCCCCGTGCCCCGGGCGGAGCCGCGCCGGGCCGGGCCGAGCCTCGCCGCCGAAGTTTGCCCGGGAGGAGCCGGGAAAGTTGCGCCGGCAGCGAAGCGCAACTTTGTGCCGCCCCGGTCCCCTGAGCGGGGCGGGCCGCGGGCGCGGAGCTTGGCGGAGCGGCCCCGCAGCGCCCATCCCCGCGGCGTCTGGCCAGCGCCCGCTCAAACTTTGCGGCCGCCGCTCCGAAGTGGGACAGCGGATCGATGCGGCCGCACCCGGCCTCGCTGGGAGCCGGGCTACAGGTTTCACCAGCCATCGCTGGCAACAGCTTTGTCATTTTCTAAAAATAAGAAGCTAAAAGTTATTGTAGAAGAAGGGGCTTTTTTTGTCCCCCGCACAATGTGCCTTTTGTGAGTTTAATGCCATTCCGGGGCTCTCTATAGCCCCGGACAATGGGGAACTCCAGGAGGCGGCTGTGCCTCTGCCTTTTTTCTTTCTTGCTTTCTCTTTTCTTCTCTCTTCCCCCCCCCCCCTTTTTTTTTCCCCTTTTTTTTCTTTTTTTAGGAAAGGATGCAACATTCCTCCAGTCCCAACAGAACTTATGGTTTGATTAAATAAATATTTCTGTAGCCTTGCGGTAACATTTTTCACTTTCTGCTCGGGTCCATCTGAGATTATTATTTAAAATTTTTATTTCCAGCAGCTCTTCCCTCCCCATTCCAGCCCTAGCGAAAAAATGTAGATGATCGTTGGGAATGTGGGATTTGAATTTTAGGAGGACCAGTAAAGAACCTCTCTCCAGGCTTCAAGAATATGTTTTCTTCATCTTACTGTAAGAGACTCTTGCTACTGGCAGAAATGAAGCTGAATTAACTTATCTCTCTTGAAAATCTAAAGAAGCTTTGCAAATTGCTGCTTTTTTTTTTTTTTGCCTTTTTTTTTTCCGTTTTAATTTTTATTTTTCTTAGTAACCCAAGTAATTAACTTCCCGGTTTGTTTCATAGCACTGAACAAGGAATGCAGTTGCGGTCAGTTTTTCCATTTGGGAGAACCTTAATATAGATGTATTTTATACTGAAAGGTAATAAACTGCATGTTTGTTAATAAGTATTTGTGATGAAATGTATCCAGCTTTCCAGGTTTTTACGGTGGGGGTAGTCCTTTGAAATTTTGACAAGTCCCTTTCAGTGGGATGGGGGATTGAAAGAAGGGGGAGATGATCAGAAATTGAATAAGGGCTGTACTTGTTGGTACAGTACTGTAAGTGCCTTACATTTGGAAAAGGTATTCACAGGTTTTTAGACTCGAGTTTTAATACGTACCATAGTTCTATGAGTTTTATAAATGCAGCACTGAGGTGTACTGTTGAGATGGGCATGCTATGCGTGGGTTCTGGTGGGTTGCTAAATGCATAGACTCCAGTATGTTACCAGTTTGCCTTTAAAAGCTGCCCTTCAAAATGTGTAAAAATACATTTGTCTAGCTTCATAGAAGAATAATTGTTACTTGCCCTTCCAAAAAATAAGAAAAAAGGAAAAAAGAGAAAAAAAAACCAAACAAAACCACCACCACCACCCCACCCCACCTCCCCCAAGAAAAACAAAAAGTAAAAAAAAAAAAAGGGGGGGGGGGGGGATGGTGGGGGAAGCCCAAATCCAAACCAACAAGCCTTGGGCAGGTTAGATTTTTCAGGGCTGCTTGGTGCGCTGTCTGTAAAGGTGCATGTAATTTGGAACTGTTGTTTGTGCTGCATATGAAACAAACATGTTCGGATGATGAAGTTGAGGTGAGAATAAAGTAATCCTTGTCTTTTGGTACTTGGTGTAACTTAGAAGGAGCGCGTGTTTTCAGCAGAGGCTGTAGATCTCATGGACCCGGCTGGGAATGAGTGCTGCCTGTGTACACACTTTTTGCAGAGCAAAGAAAAAGTAAATATGTGGAGAAGGTGGCAAGTAAATCTAGTAACTGTTAATGCTCCAGAAATAGTCACCTTCACAAGAACATGTTCAAACGCTGTCTGGTAGCCATGTACATTTTCTTTGCATTTGCATCGCGAATTCTAGATTTGTGTTGCTGTCCTCTAATTTCCCATGACAACATATGGATCCCATAAATGCAAACATGCCGGAGTGCATCTGTCTGAGTAGTTAACACAAACCAAACATCCCCCTGTTCAGCGGCTCTGCTGCTCCTCCGGCCATGCTGCGCTGTGCCCTCCTGCGACAGCTTCTCACTGCTCCTGCGTTCTTGTACGTTCATGCTCCCGAGGTGATCCCAAGTGCCTCGAAAGGGAGGAGGGCAGCAGGCGCCAGGGTCAGAGGTGCCGAGGGCTGCAAGGGTTGAGTGGGGAGCACACTCTGTGGCCCCCCACCCTCCTGGGAGCTGGGTCCAGCCCGTGCAGGCTCTGTGCTGGGGTCAAGTCCTTGGACATCTTCCTTCCCCTCCTGGCGAGGGCAGAAGATGAGGCTGGGGAGGGGAATGGTCACCTGGAGCCATGGCAGAGGTTTGCCCCATGTTATGGACATGGCCATCCAGAGCCTGGGGGATAGAAGAGCTCCCAGTTCTACTGAAGGGGCAGAAAAAGGTGATGAGGTGTGTATGTGTGTGAAAAGAAGGGACTGAACGAATGATGGCTGCAGGACCAGCCAGATAAACCACTGCACAAGTACAAAAATAAATCTAAAGAATTGAGGAATAATTTGTACAGGAATCGTTAAGTATGATTACACATACGTGCATGCATTTCTCCTCTTGAAAATTTACTTCCCTTAAGGTTTCTTTGTTCTAGGCAAAAAAAAAAAAAAATCACTAAAAAAGACAGTTGCTAAAATATAAGAAAGGACTACCCTTGCTTTAGTTAGAAATCTTGATAAAACCTCATCTGTAGTACTACAGATACCTCTTGATATTGTGTTTGTTTCTTTACACATGCATAGACAGGATTTTTTGGTCCAAATAACCTTTAATGTGCTTAGTAGAATGAAGCTCTCAGTATCAGATTTGTGGGGAAGAATGATTTTTTCCATAGGAAACTTGTTAAAAACACAGTTGAATTACTAGGTTAACTCTAATTTTTTGTCTGCCATCATATCTGATCTATTTGAATGTAGAATTGTATAGTTCCAGCTCTGTTATTTTGAACAGATGGAGCTAATACCAGCGCTTTAAAGGAAAGTTGTTATTTGCAAAAATGTATACAGATTGGAGGAACAACTTCGAAGCAAAAGGTTTTTCTGAGGCAGTGTGTATGGCTTTCTGGACATAACTTTCAGAAAAGATGGTTGTTATCTTGGATATATAAAATGGGTAAAGCGGCTTCAGTTTTCAGCGACTTCAGCGAGTGAGTCTTCCCTTAGAAATAGGACTTGGCTGTCGAGTGGCTTTGGAGCAGCTCTGTCCTGGGCCAGATCTGCCTGGGGCTGTGGTGGAAGCAGTTGACTACAGTGAATTTTTAGGGACCACAACCATGTCCTGTTGCTCAGCATGAGGCGGCTGCACGCTGCCTCCCTCCGCCTAGTGCTGCGTGGAGCACGCTGATGCTTTGAAGAGGCCGTCTGGACATGAGGGACTAATATATGGATAGAATAAGAAAGATATTCCAGGCTAGCTTGTTAAATTCAGGCTTTAAAAATTATTGGGGGAAGGGGGGAGAAATCCTGCTTAGAAAAAGATCTCCATAATTTCATCCACTTATGTAGCTTTGTGCTTCTTGGAAATGTGTCTGAAGAATCAGAACAAAGCGTAGAAGGCCAGAGTTCTTGAAGGAGCTCCAAATGATAAAGTCTGCCATTCATTTTAAACACAGCGTGCATTGTGAAAACACAGGTCAATTTGAAGGCATTTGTCAGATTTCCAGTTCCCTCTACTCCTTTGCAATGGAAATTTGCAATCAAATCCCTGTACTGGAGTTGGGATGTCTGCCTTTATCAGTTGTTATTACTTTATACTCTGAGCATTGCCCAGGTAAGCTGTCTTTTCATTTAGAAAGTTTGTTTGCATAAAGTTGCATACAAGAAGAGGGGAACGCTGACATGGATTAGGCTGGAGCAGATGCAGTTATTTAGGGGTTTGGGAAGGGGGAAAGGGCAGAGGATCAGCAGCGACTGATTGCAAAGAGCTGTCTAAGCTGCAGAAGCGATCTGATACCATTTAAAGACGCTCAGCAAGAGGCATAGAAAGGGGTATTCCAGCAGCAGCATGTTTATTGTTGGGATGCAGAAATGCAGCAGGGCTCTGAAAGAGAGGGCTGAGACATGAACTACTGAGCAGTTCTGTCCACATAACAGGAATTTCTTCTGGAGGCATGTACGCATGGTTTAATGGGCATGGGGCTGCTTACTTTATTCTGAGAGATGTGGGGGTACGCTAGAGAAGAGGCATACGTATTTCTCTAGAAGAGACACATTCTAT